ATCGGAGAGCAACCTAGGGTTAGTATCTTGCCCAAGTATACTTGGCTTGGCAGACTGGAGCAGCCATCGATCAAACCACCAAACTTCCAAACTTCCCATACCTCCTGAACTACAGTCATGGTGCAGTAGGCCCTGGGTTCCTCCTTGTGCAGGACAATGCCTGGCCTCAAATGGTGAGAGTATGCAGACAGTGCCTGAAGGATCGAGGAATTGATACCACTGATTGGCTCCCATGCTTGCCTGACCTAAGTCCAATCGAACACCTTTGAGGCATTATGTTTCAGTTTATCCAACACTGCCAGGTTGCACCTCATGCAGCTGAGTGATACCCAGGTTTGGGTGAGGTCTTCTGGTTAGGTCTGTCTTCTAGTGAAACAGGTGTTTGAAGAGGAGCGGCAAGAAATAACACTTATGTACTCCCACCCCCTTCAGATATTTATAATTCAGTCACTGAGCAGCTGCTTCCTGAGTATATGTAATACATTATATAACAATGATCATTTATCACACTAGAAATATCTATATTGAAAAGACCTCTTGTAGCTTAATGCTGCCCTCATCCCTGCACTGCATAAAAACCACACCTTTATACACTGATTTCAATTTGTGGACATTTGGACTTTGCTTGTGCTTAGCCCCACACACAGACACACAAAAACTTTTCCTAGTAGTTCTCACCACATGCACTTCAAATCATAGCCCCACTGCAGAGAGAGAAATGTAATATATAAAACTGTAACAATACAACTGAGCGTAAGGCAGACAAGACAAGAGACTATCAGAATAAAACAGGAAACTAAAAGTGAAACAGAAAGTGACACATCTGAACTTGTGACACCAAGAAAAGATTGACTACAAAGGAGACGCTGATGGCAAGACACATGGATGAGATCAGGAATAACAAAAACCAGGAACTAGAAATAAACGCAGACCCAATAGAGAAAACTAAACTATACAGAGTTAGCACTTAAGTCATCTCTTAGATGCAGCAGAAAGAATCACGAGTCCACAACAAACTCAAAGATCCAGAGACGCAGGAACACTGAGTACCACTTTGAGTTGCTGCAATGAAATGTTGGGAAATGGACTAGCCTGCCGCTGCCGCTTTTTCGATTTGATTCTCTGCTTTTGAATTCAGGTGTCTGTAGGCTGATCATTTTAATTACAATTTCAACAATATAGCATCCTTTCCAACACATTACCCAGTCTATACGAGTCTGCTGTGTTTTCAAAGTCTTCATTTATTTTCTTGAGCAGTATGTATAATTGCATTTGTTGAGTATTGTATTGTTGAGATTCAAATATTAATATTAGCCTGAAGTTTCGAAAAAATATTTTTACCTTTTTTAAGAACACTAATACTCTTTCACATATTTATAAATGGTTAAAATTATACATTACATATTATGTAAAGAAAAAAAGAAAGCAGATGAAGGAACTGAATTGAGGTTTGTGGTCTCTAAGAACCACTACTTACCTTCCTCTTGACATCAAAAGCAACACTGAAGAGAAGACAGCCATAGAAACTCATTTCCAAGATATAATACCAGTACTGAGACTCTAGCATGGTCTGCAGACAGGGAGACAAAGAGACAGATTCAAGAAGACAGGACATAATTATAATCAGTTATGCAGACAAAAGGTTTGTCCCATAAGGTTCTGTTTTTTTCCCCTAGACCTTATAGCTAAAAATAAACTGCAGAGGAATCTATTGTTTACACCAATTTGCAGCTTTCCACGTAAATGCTAGTACAGGTTGATGCTTCTGTTAAACACTGAAAGAAAAGGAAATCTGAGTACTAGTAATTAA